TCCCGGCGTCAATAAGAGCATTAGTACACTTTCCAGGCAAGCCCTTCCATGGGCCGCAGATAACGAACTGTCCACAACATTGACTTGGAATCGGTGGCGGCATGGGAACGCAACTATCGCCCACATTTTTAGAGCAACTCAAAATTCCAGCATCAGTCCAGTGGAACAGAGACAGAAGTAGAGCCATGGAGAGGATAATTGCTCGGCAGGTGTTCATTGTTACTTGTTGTGGCTATTTTGTTGTCGCTTGAATGCTTGAATGACTAGTCAGCTGTTGATTTGTGATACTAAATGCTCAACTGACCGTTACCCTTTTATACTTGAAATAACGATGAGTGCACCGGATGCAAAGGCCTACAATGGTAATTTAATTTGAAAACTTGCAAAACTAAAGTTTGCAGTGACATCGTTTTGCTCTATGCGTACAATCAATTTTTAATGTAAAACGACATCAAAAGTAGACTATCAAGTAGACAAATNGATTTAATTTGAACACTTGCAAAACTACAGTTTGCAGTGACATCGTTTTGCTCTATGCGTACAATCAATTTTTACCATGTAAAACGACATCAAAAGTAGACTATCAAGTAGACAAATCAAGTGTAATGTTTAAACACATCACAATTGAGATAAAAATTAACTTCACACTTTTTTACAAAAAAATTATCTTTTATCAGAAATGTTATTGCCAATATTAATGAATAATGAATAAATAAATAAGTAATTTACAACTTTAAAACAGATATCACAAAGCTCAGCTTATACCATTAAACATATCACGATTTTATAAAAAATACACATAAGAAGCTACCGTATTCATAGTTAAAACACTAACTAAAGGATAAATTATTGATTTCATAACTGGTTTCTCGAACCTGACGGGTGATTTGCTTGATATTATGATCGGTTATCACCAGGTATGAAGACTGGTTATCAAAAATTGACCGGCAATAAATTGTGAGAATCGCTTCAATGCAATCGTCGCTAAATAAATCTGCAAAATTAAAAATACAAAATCAACATCTTGAAATACAAATGCAAACACAAATTTTACCTGGTATATTTTCCTTGAAAACATGCACAAGTTTTACTGCTTTTGCGAACTGTCCTGCCTGGATAAGCTCCTTTAGCTCTTGTTCATTGTCTTTTGTCAGTGAACTTCCTTCAATTGGCAGTGAGCTAAACTCCGAGCCAGACTCTGATGATCCATTAGCAAGGTCTTCAATGACAGTGGACAAACACTTGGATAGCTCCTTCTTGATGTTGCTTATTTCAGTTGAATAGTTTTGCACCTGCAAGGCAATACAATTATGTTTGAGAAAAACAAATGAAAAGCCATACCTCAGCGTGCTCAGAAATGGATTTGAGCAAATCGACAATTTTGAGGTAGCTTTCAAACAGCAAAAATAGCTGAAAGTGCATCTTGTACATCATCTTGCACAGTTTGCTCAGGTGAATCTGCTCCACAATGGGCCCTTCCGGTGTCTGTCGCACTATCTTTGAGCACTTTTCGGTGACTGCCATCAGCGAGTCACGCTTCTCGTTGAACGTCTCCCAGTGAGCCTGCAACTCCAGGATGGCATACTGGTGGTCCTCCAGCAGTTTGTTCACGGTGATGAAGAGCTTAGGGTCAATGAAGATGAAGGGAAAATCGACAGAAAAGGAGACAATGTCCAGTAGCTCGAGGAACTTGCTGGAGACGATCTGCGTGTGAGTGTCCGGGCTGTTGGCCGGCAGCAAATCGCAGCACTTCTTTGTCAGCTCAATTGCCCTTGCAAATGTGTTGCGGAAAATGAGCGTCAGAATTTGATTGGACACCGCCGAGGTGGTGCCCGTGTTGTCGCTGATGATCTGAATGAACTGTGCCGACCACTGCTCCACCGTCTCCTCTCTGCTGCTGCTGTACTCCCCCTCGGCCATCGAGTCAGAGATGGTGGGCACCGTAGTGAGGGGGGTGAACTGATTGTCGGTGTCAGAGCCGAGGCTGTGCGAAGAGCCGTGCGAGATGAGACTGGCCGGACGAGAGGAAGGCCTCTCGTGATGCATGCCATGGTGTCCTCCTCCTCCTCCTCCTCCTCCTCCCCCTCCTCCGTGGTGCATGTGGTGGTGTCCGTGGTGGTGGGCGCCTTGATGGCCGTCATACAGCGGCGACACACTCTCCATCTCGTCGTCCGAGCTAAAGTCGTCCTTCTGACTGTTCTTCACGTGCGGCGGCAGTCCGCTGACCACAATCGACGTTCGCTGGTCACCCTGATCACCTCGGCTGGGCTTCAACGTTCCAGTGGAGTAGGAATTGGCACCGCTCATGCCACCGCCACCGCCGCCGCCACCACCGCCGCCACCATTAGGCGCCTCCAGGCTAATCTTCTCGTGATCAGTGAGACTGTTGTCCAGATTGGACAGTGACTTGCGTCTCACACCCCAGTTGAAGTTGTCCAGGCTCTCTCCTTCTTGACTCTCCAGCTCGTACTCCAAAAAGTCGAATTCCTTGAAGAAGGCAAACTCTCCGTGGGCAGTGTCGTCGTGCTTCGAGTCATTCGACACGTCGTTGTTGGTCGCCGAGATGTCCTCCACCGAGGAGGCCATCGATGACTTGTGACACTCAATGACGTCACTGTTTTGCGAGAAGATAACCGACGGACTCTTTGGCAGGCCGCCAATTCGCTGTCCACATCGGTTCAGCAGGCCAATGAGGCGCTCCTTGATGCGAATCTGCGCAGAGGCAGTGCTGCGCTGTTTGCTCAGCGTGTTGGAGGAGTTGTTCTCCCTCTCCTGCGGTATGAAGATGGCCTCCTTCACCTCAAACAGCTTCTCCAGGGGGATTCTCGTGTCTCTGCCATTGCTTCGCTTCTCCGCCACCGTTTCGGCGCTGCTACTTTGCTGCTGCTCCTGGGCGGTGATCGTCTCTTGTGTGTCTTGTACATTGCTGCACAGCTGCTGTCGCTTTTGAATGAACTTGTAGCCAACAATGTGCGTCTGGCTGAGGTCAATGTGAAAGTTCATCGTCCTTCCCGGTAGCTCTCGCTGCTTGAAGGAGCTGAACTCGCTTTCGGCAAAGCTGCTTGAGGCAATGCTGATGCAGTCCAGATAGGGCCCCGAAGAGACGATGTTAGAGATGATGCTTGAAGGATAGTTTGCCGAACTGGAGTAGCTAGGGGCTGCCAGACTGGAAGATCGAGAGACGGACAGCTTGAGAATTTTCAACGCCTCCTTCCACTGCGGCCCTTCGATGTACTTGTTGGCCACTCGGAGAATATCAGCATTAATCAGTCGAGCAGTAGAGACGTCAATGTAGATTAGCATAAAGTGCAAAATCGAGAGGATATGGTTCAACAGCATCGGCGGACCCTTTTCGGCAATCTATAGTAAAAGGTAAAAAATTTAGCGTTTGTCACAGCAAAAAACAGAGTGAAGAACAAACCTCCACAAGGAAAGGCACAATATTGACAAAAGAATTCGGGTACGCGTCGTAGAGGTACTTGACAACGCACTTGATCCACTGAGAGTTTTCCTTTAGAAAGCATCGCTTGCTGTAAAGTGTCATCACCGTTGCCAGGTTCTCCAGCTTTGTCGAGTTCTCATTGCACCACTTGGCAAAACACTTGGCGGCCTGGAAAACGCAATTCGTGTTACATTCAACAGTCAACTACTACTACTACTGCCAACAGCAAACTACTTACATCAATGCACAGTTCATTGGGGTCATCGTAGTTGTGCAGCATGTACGGCAGCATTGCCATCACGTGAAATGGAAAGGCAGTGTCGCTCTTGTCCGGGTCAATGACAGGAATGCTCAAGAGCGGCGTCAGCTTGTGAAGCAAACTAATCGTTGCCTCGTAGTTGCCCGGAGAAGCGAGGCCCTTCAGCAGAAGCGAGTGAACGCCCGGAAAGTTGTGCCACTTGAAGTGAAAGAGAATCTTCTCAATTTTGTCCTGCACTTCAAGGTCTTCCAGTGACAGCTTTGAGAGAACCTTCTCCAGAAGGCGCAGCGCCAGGGCAAACTCATGCTCAAAGTCAGTCTCCAGAAGTGTGACGGCAATCCAGAAGAACTGCGCCAGTATTGAGGTTTTGTCGTCAAACTGTAACAGAAAACGCTTTATAGACAGAACCTCTTTAAGAGCATCAGCAGTCATCTTCTACGTACCTGATACGCCGCGTCCTGGTTGGGCATCTCAGCGTCGGCAAAGTCTCCGCCGGCATTCTTCATCAGCGACTGAACCGACTGCGACCGCCCCATTCCCGTCTTGCCGGCACCCGTCTTTCCACTGTAAAACTGGTCGACATCAGTAGTGGTCCTAAAGCGAGTGCTGCTGCCCCCGCCACCACCGCTACCACCACCACCACTCTGCCGTCCCTCCTCTAGAAAATTAAACTTTCTTGTGGGAAAGGACATCGAGTAGGAGGTGCTGCGCAGGGGCATCTTCAACAGCAGCTTAGCATTGTTGGTGAGCGAGTCGGTGTGCGACTGAGAGGTGGTGATGCCCGCCGTTCCGGTGACCAGCGTCGAGGAGGAGGAGGTCGAGTGGAGCGACGCTTCATTGGCCTCTGAGGCGCCGCCCGGTGTCACCACCACCGCCGCCTCCGCCTCGCCCTCCTGACCGTCCTTCCTCGCAATGGCCGAGGGAGTAGTAGCTGCTTGGCTGGGAACGACGCCAGGCAGCTCCAGTTCAGTGTCGTGCATTAGATCGTGGTCTTCAATCTCCTCCGGATGACAGTTCAGTTCGCCGTGTTCGCCATTGTCTTCCTTNGTGATGCCCGCCGTTCCGGTGACCAGCGTCGAGGAGGAGGAGGTCGAGTGGAGCGACGCTTCATTGGCCTCTGAGGCGCCGCCCGGTGTCACCACCACCGCCGCCTCCGCCTCGCCCTCCTGACCGTCCTTCCTCGCAATGGCCGAGGGAGTAGTAGCTGCTTGGCTGGGAACGACGCCAGGCAGCTCCAGTTCAGTGTCGTGCATTAGATCGTGGTCTTCAATCTCCTCCGGATGACAGTTCAGTTCGCCGTGTTCGCCATTGTCTTCCTTTCCCTCCCCCTCCCCGTCCTCCTCCTCCTCGTGCTCCTCAATGTCAGCATTATCAAAGTGAAAGTATTCATTGATCAGCTCGAAAATGTCACGCGGCTTAAAGTCAAACGAGTCAATGGCCGACTCGAGTGTGAGCATCAGCTCGGTGACGTATCCCTGCATGTCTTCGCCCTGCTCACTGATCGTCTCCACCAGTCGCGAGAGAATATCCGACAGCATTCGACTGTTGATTGGCACTTTTAGAGCGCGAAAGATTTGCAGCGATCGACCGGCGTAGTGACGAGATGAACAGCTGAGCGCCAGCTGGAGCGCAATTTCCGCCCATCGGTTCTGTATCTTCGCGTAGGGAATGGACTCCTTGAAGACGCCCAAAACGTGCTCCACAAAGCACTCCATCTGCTCGGCGGAGCGAATCTGCCACAGCTTGGCAGTGATGTCCTCGTAGTTCCACAGGGGAACGTTCTGCTTAGAGCTGATAAAGTCAATCAGCGTTTTGATGTACAGATCAAACTTTGGCCTTGCGTCCGCAGACTTGTCCGCCGCTTGCTGGAGAAACTGACTCTTCAGCGGCTTCTCGCCGCCTCCTTCGCGTCCGTTCGGCTCAGCTGAGCTGCCTGAATCAGAAAGCTTATCACCGGAAATATTCAGCTGAATGTCCGTCAAGTTGACNCTTTAGAGCGCGAAAGATTTGCAACGATCGACCGGCGTAGTGACGAGATGAACAGCTGAGCGCCAGCTGGAGCGCAATTTCCGCCCATCGGTTCTGTATCTTCGCGTAGGGAATGGACTCCTTGAAGACGCCCAAAACGTGCTCCACAAAGCACTCCATCTGCTCGGCGGAGCGAATCTGCCACAGCTTGGCAGTGATGTCCTCGTAGTTCCACAGGGGAACGTTCTGCTTAGAGCTGATAAAGTCAATCAGCGTTTTGATGTACAGATCAAACTTTGGCCTTGCGTCCGCAGACTTGTCCGCCGCTTGCTGGAGAAACTGACTCTTCAGCGGCTTCTCGCCGCCTCCTTCGCGTCCGTTCGGCTCAGCTGAGCTGCCTGAATCAGAAAGCTTATCACCGGAAATATTCAGCTGAATGTCCGTCAAGTTGACGGTGTCTGACTGGGTGGCGGCACTCGCCGAGGCTGTTGCTGCAGTCGCCGGAGACATTGCGCTGACGACATTTTCAGTGCTTTTTGTGAAGATTCGGTTCAGATCAAGATCCCCAGAGGTGCTTGCGCCCACCGTGCCGGTCTTCCCCGTCTGTCCGCCCGAGCAAGCCCCAGCAACAGTGCCTCGATCGACCAGCTCCTGCACCGCCGAGTCGGTCTCATCTCCACCTGACATTAGATTGACGTTGAGGTGCGTGTAGGGAAACTGAAAGGGCATCGACAGTCCGTAGTTCTGCCGGAGAATGCGGTTGTTGAGGAGGATGCGAGCCACGTTGAGGTTGTCGCCGTGCTTCGTCGTGACGATGAGCAGGTTGAGCAGCAGCTGCTTACAGTGCTCGTAGACAATTGCCTTGGAGTGGTCCATGCCGAGGAAGAGAATGTGCAGCATCAGCGGAATGTGCGGCGACCAGTCCACCACCGAGATGTCCTGCGTGATGATCTCGGTGATGAGCATCAGCGCCAGATTGCACCGGTGGAAGCCGCCCATGCTGCCTGAGGCCTGCTGCTGCTGAAAGGTGGCCAGTGCACTGGACAGTGGCGCCGGTGGATTGCCCGCTGAACCACTGCCGCCGCCGCCTCCGCCGCCGCCGCCACTGGTGCTCATGAGAAAGTCATTCAGCGGTGCGTAGTACCCGCCGTACTCGGGCATCGGCAGCGGCCTCGGCTGCGGCGTCGAAGGCTTCGTACATCGCTCGGAGATGGGCAGCGATGAGTCATCATTGGAGAGGTTCAAATCGCCAATGAGATTGCACTCCTCAGAGGAGGTGTTGTTGCTGGAGTTGAAGCCCGTCGTACTGCCGCCGCCGCCGCCGTTGGCCGACTCACCACCACCCGGCGGCTGATCGAGGTACTTTCCGTGCAGGTCTTTGCTGTGTCGCTTGGTGTGCAGCGTCCCTGCGTCGCGTCCTGAGGTGGAATCGGTTCGCCTGGCAGTGGCATTGGGCGTGTCGTCGTCGAGCAGATGCGAGGCGGAGCACTTTCGATTGACAATGCGAAAGTAGGGAAAGGCTTCCGTTCGCTCGGCGTTAAAGTTGAGAAACTCCACCGCCTGCAGCTCGGTCATGAGAATGTCAATGAGGTGTTCAGGCTGTGACTTGGCGAGATAGATGGCGATGCGCTTCGCGTACGGCAGCAGCTCGTTCGGCGACAGGCCGGTCAGTATGAAGAGATACCGAACGATAATCTTCAGATTGTTGGGACGATTGGCGCACAACGACGACCAGACCTTCTCCAGCTCGGGCGCATAATCGTCGCCGAACTTGATGGTAATGTAGAAGAGGTTGTTGAGGACCATCTCGGTGGACTCCACTGAGCCCCAGCCCTCGCGGAACTGACTGCCGTAGCTGTGCTGCATTNAATGTAGAAGAGGTTGTTGAGGACCATTTCGGTGGACTCCACTGAACCCCAGCCCTCGCGGAACTGACTGCCGTAGCTGTGCTGCATTGGGTCCTCAAACTGATTCCTCGAGTACACGTCCGGAGTGCCCGGGTCTTCAAGTGACTCTGTCAGCGGATTGGCGGCTGACTGTCGGTCCACTCCAGTAGAGCCACCTCCACCACCAGTTAGTGCTGCCGTCGGGTCGACCAGTTGCATGTTGTAGAGCCAGGGAACGAGAAAGTTGAGCAGATTTTGGCACACCGTCGGTCGAGCCGTCTGAAAGCGGAAGGTAATCTCACTGAAGACAATCATCGTCAGCTGCGGATGCAGGTAGGCCATGCGCTTGGCAATGTTCGCCTGGGTGCACGGGTACAGGTTGAGCAGCAGTGGCTCCAGTCCAGCCGCCATCGCACTGCTGTGTGCCGAGTGACCGCTCTGGTGATGGGATCGCGCGGTGGACAGAAAGTGGCCGTGACCACGCTGTTGACTGCCCTCCTGATCAGCCCGCAGTCGCGGACTGCTGTCCAAGGCGGTGCCCACGCGAACTTCCGACCGATAGGAGCTACTGCCCGTAAAGAAGCGATTGTCGAGAATTTGCAGCAGTTGCAGGGCCAGTTGCTGGATTTCAATGCGCGGACAGGCGACATTGACAATGGTGACGATGATGATGGCAATGTAGCGGTCGCAAGGATAGTCACGAATGGAGAAAATGGTGGCCAGTGCTGTGAAGCAACTGTCGGCGATTTTGGCGTTCTTCGTGTAGCAGCACTCCACAAGCCATTCAAGAAGTGGGCCTACAGAAGTTGAAATTGGAAAATGCAATGAGAAGAATGAAGAAAGTACAACACCAGCACAAGCACTCACCAGCATCCAGATTACTTTCCAGCAGGAGAATGAGCGACTCGAGGCCAATCTCATTCATGCGGCGATCTCGCGAGTTGAGCAGCGACGTCAGCCAGAAGTACAGGCTGTTGCCGTCCAGCAGATTCTTCTGGTCAAAGAGTGGCCCAGCGCAGAGGACGGTGGACATTGATCGCGTCGCCAGGTGCTCCAACTCGGTGATTTTGCTGAAGTCCAGCGTCTGCAGCGGATACTGGTAGTTGACGTGCAGGAACATCTGCCCGTACTTGCCGCTCATGCTGGCAAACAGGCGAAACAGATTCTGGCGCATCTCTCGGCTGATCTTGCTTGAGCGCTGACTGATGGGGAAGCTTTTGATGAGATTGCACACAAAGTGGCAGTAACTTAGCTTGATGTCGGCGACGTAACTGGACGATTCGCTAGATTTGATTTCCCCCTCTAGAAAGACTCTCATTCGCTCAATGTAGTCAATGAGCACTGAACTGAACGCCCCACTACTATCCACCACAACTGGACATTGAGCAAAAATCTTCCGCTCAGAGATAAACTTAAAGAGTCGTCCAATCTGAACGAACAGCAGCTCACGGCGCTTTTTAACGCGCACCTTTTCATTTGGCTTTCGTTCCATGGACTCACGAAAGTGGTGAAAGAGCTCTTCCAGCAAGTCGGCCAGCGCGTGAGGATTCACCTGAGAAAGACCTGTACAACAAAACAAAAAGATAGCCACAATTTGAGACAAACTATTCCACCCCCCTCCTTTAGAAAGCTTACCCAGGATGACCGCCTTTCTCATCTCCACTTGGTCGCACCTCATCTGTTCGATGATCAGTTTGAATAGAGACTGGACAGTGTACGTCCGGCCCCGTGCCAGAATCACCGGAGAGCGGTTGCCTTCGATGCCGGAGCTTTGCACCTTCTCCGCCAGGCTCGAGTCAGGCGATGTGCAGTTCTCATGCAGCTGACCTCCTCCCCCTCCGCCTCCTCCACCGCCTCCAGCAGCACTACCTGTCATTGGGTACTTTGCAGGAGGAGGTGGCGGTGGCGGCGTCGGTGTGGGCGGCCGAACAATGGAACTAGGGGCCACTGAGCAGGCCATCATCAGGTAGTTCTTCCACAGTTCAATGTAGTAGGAGCGGTCAAAGGAGGAGATGGAGCGCTTTAGATTGGAGGAGGAGGTGGAGCCGCGCAGAATGAGCGACCGGTTGTCATTCACCGGATTGGGGTCGATTTGCGTGAAGAGCGACTTCAGTCGGTGGAAGACGAACTGCCAGCAGTAGCTGGTCACACTGGGACAGTGCTTCATCACCGCCTCCTGCAGCATCGCCATCAGACAGGTGCTCCAGGCGTTCAGCTTCAGCTCGTCGTCGGCCGGCGAGGCGGACGAAGAGGAGTCCGCCGACAAGGAGGAATTGTCGGCAATGCTCTGGCCAATGGCCGAGCTCATCGAGCTGGTCATTGACTGCGTCGAGGAGACGGTGCCCGTGGCGCTGGGCACGCCAATCGACGACTGCGTCATCGAGGTGACGCTTGAGCCGGCTCGCGAGTCACTTCGCGTCTCACTGGACCGGCCCGAGTCGGTCGCCCCGGTGAGGTTGGCGCTGAGATTGGTGTCAGAGACGCGCTCAAAGAGCACCCAGGAGGCGCCGCCGCGCTCTGCCAGCCACTGCAGGTCCACCTGGTACGACATTGAGATGATGGCCGCCCGCTCACTGGAGGTCAGGTAGGGAAAGCAGTTCTCGATGATGTTCGGACAGACGGCGTCGATGACACTGGCGACTGGCTCGTCGTAGATGCGCGTAGTGAACGCCTGTCCGTCAGCTGTGTGGCTGATCACAGAGGCGGTCACCACATTGGAGATGATCTTCGACTCCTTGAGAATCAAGGCAGCCAGCTTCCTCGACGGCTGTCGGCAGTAGCAGAGCATGACCAGACTGAGGGCGTCCACCTTGTACAGCACTGTTCCAATTTGCTCGAGCTTACTCTTCGACAGCATGGGCACGGTGGTGTTCACCGAGCTGACCCCTTCAGGACTGGTGACCACCTTCTTCCCGAGCTGCTGTTGAATGACATTCTTCCAGCTGGTGAGCAGCTGGTAGAGCATCTTCAGGGCGTTCTCAATCAGCGGCTGAAAGTGGTCGCCAATCTCGTAGAGGATAAAGTGCACAAAGCCATCAATGACGTCCTCTCGCCAGTCGGAGAAGTCGACGATGAGGTTTTGCAGTGACTGAAACGCCAGGACGCACATCTCGTCGTCCATGTGGACGGTGAGGCGGGAGAGCAGCTCGATGAGGTCCGTCTTTGAGATTCCATCGGGGATGAGGCGAGGAATGGCGGCAATGCACGTCCGAAAGAGGTCAATCTTCGGCTTCCGCTCTCCGGTGATCATGTCATCGGGCTCTTTGTTCAAGTTCGCCAAGTTGGTCGTCATCAGGGGCCGGCCGAACTGGACGTCAAGGGCGCGCAGAATGTCCGACAGCGTCTTTCGCACGTGCGGGTAGTAGTGGTTCATGCCAATGTTCTTTGCCATCTCATCAGTGAGCATCTTATTGAGAAAAGTCTTCTTCACGCGAAGTGTGTTGCCTGAAGGGAGAACGCCCAGGGAGCGAGGCATCGGTGGTTCGCCGTCCTATGAATGAAAAAAGATGTTAACTTTCTTTTCAAACCAATTTAACACCTATTGCCCATTACCTTTTGCTGCAAGCTGTCGGCCACAACGAGAAAAGATCTCAAGCCGATGCTCATCCTCTCCGGCGTCATTATGATCTTGAAGGGTCGTCCAACGGAGAGCAAGTCAAAGACTATTTCCTTCATCGCAAAGTCAAGGCGCTCCTGGGCGATGAACTGGATGATCTTTACGAAAATATTCAGCGGAGTGTCTCGCGGCACGACGCCCTTTGATCCTTTGGGAAAGAGCGAGTTGACGATTGAATGCAGGCGGACCTGGGTGGAGGCATTGGACTCGCACTTGACGCGAATCATGTACACCCACAGCAGACGGTACAGCGACTCAAGGGCCACTCGGGACATCTTCGGGTCGCGGTTCTTCAGGTGGCTGAGGCACATGGCGACAAAGTAGTGCCAGTTGTTGAGGAAGAAACTCTTCTGTGACACACAGAGGAGACAGGTGACCAGCGGAAAAAGCGCCAGACTGTGCTTCTTTTTGGTGCTCAAGTCCACGACGGCTCCGTAGAGAAGCTCCACAAAGTTTTTCAGACAGGGCACATTCACTTCATTTTTCACCGTGGCGGCGACAGGCACGAGAATCTCCACAAACAAACCGGCCAGAGCGTGTTTGATGTCCTTGTCTTTGACTTCGATGAAGTACACGGCGCACTCGTGCATGAACTGAAAGCTGGCTTCAAACTCCTCGATGGGCACCATCTTTACGCGAAAGAACTTCATGCCCATCAGCAGTGAGATGATACTGTGCGTCGTAATTGGAGAAGGCTCTTTGGCGCGGAGCTCTTTGAACTCATTCATGAAGCGCTTTCGAACTGACTGGAAACGGGACTGAGCGAGGACGCCGATCACTTCGGCGTACAAGTCAGCGATCATGTTGATGTTGTAGAGATTCGGATTGGAGACATCCTCGCGGAATTTAAAGTGCTTAAAGGCAAGATTCTCGATATGGGTCGTCAGGTCGTCATATCCAGGGTGCAGAGGTAGCTGCTTGAGCACTTCAATGAGCACCAAACAAAAGATGAACTCAATGGCCAGATCACGCTTTTCTAAAATGTAAAAGAGGTCGATTTCCGACGCCTGATCAACGTAGTTGAAGGTAATCGCAGTTGAGGAAATTGAGCTGGGCGCAGAAGAGGGGAAATTGATGGATCTGGTTAGCGGGCCGGACTTTGAGGAAGACTGAGAATCTGTTGCTGACTTAATTAGCCGCTGATTATCCTCAAAGAAGGCGGTGGTTGGTGAGAGCTGTCGTTCGTGCCATTCGTACAGGACTCGTAGCTGCGATGGCAGACAGTGTTCGGCAGCGGCGCCGAAAGCGGTCAAAAGCTGATCAAAAATGGGATCTTCGCCGCGTTGAAGAGACTTGGCAAGCGGTCGCTCAAGTGGCTCATTGTTCAACACCTGGTCGATCTTCTTGTCGGCGAGAACGGTGAACTCGTAGAAGAGCTTCTGCAGAATCACCTCACCCGGCTTGATGGACTCCATGAGGCCGCTAGCTGTTAATCCGCTGGCCTCGGGCATTGGCAGCCAAGGAAGCATCGCTCTTTCCCGACTAGATGACCGATGAGGCGTTCTGTTACATGGAGCACTTTGAAACGATGTAAGAAATCTGAGCTTCAATATCAAATATCTTCCCAGTGAGTCACTTCAGAAGCTGATGATTGTTGCACTGCAACGCAAAACCTGGCGATATCTGCTAGGGAAAGAAAAAAAAGGTGTCAATGATGTAATCATTAGCAACAAGAGTACACTCACAGCTGCAGTCAGCTGACTGACAGTTTACCTGGATAAAATAGGAGAATGCACTAAAAGATGGAATTTATTTGCGGATTGTTGTGATTGAGCATCCAGCGAATGAAGTTGGGAAAACGGAGATTGTAAACAGTGCTCTCCTCTGGGCGCAGTGGTCCGCTTTGCACACAGTGAGCTGTTCGTAAAAGAGTGATTCGGTTGTTGACTGCCGCCGCCGCCGCCGCCTGAGTCGGCCGCGCTTCGGCAGCAGCAGCATCTGGACAGACAAGTTGGACTGGCGCCTTCGGCTCTGCCACGATATTGTTGTTGTTGTTTGGCTGTGCTCAACCCAGCCTTCAATGGCCAGCGATCATTGTTCGCTATTCTAGCGGGTTCTGGCTGATTTACAATGCTCTGTGACGTCGTCCTGGCGACATATTATTAAGCTACCGCTTTATATCTACGCCGCCGCTGAAGCTTAACCAGCTGTTCTTTTTACCAAAAAGCTTCTTTTCACTACATTTATTATGAAGTCCTCTCGCGCCCATTACCGCCCCCTGTTTGGCGTGGGCGTCGGCCGGTCGCCGCCTTTTCTGGTGGCTGCACTCACCATTGGTCTCTGCATTCTGGGCGTCTCCTACTGGCGATTGGCACTGCAGTATCATGATCTCGAAGAGCAGCTAAAGAGACTCATTCAGAAGCGGGACTCTCTGGAGGCTAATCAAAACTTCATCAACAAACAATTGGAAATACGTGAAGAGAACTTTAGTGAGGCTAAAGTTTCCTTGCAGAAGAAAGAGCAAGAGGTGGAAGACCTGAAAAAGAAGCAGGATCAAACGGGTAAAGAACTTGCTGAAATCAAGACAAGTTTAGAGCAAATTAAACAAGTTAATGTAAGTAACGTTAATTGATGAACCTTTGAACTAGAGAGCTAAAGCATCTGTACTTTAGGATAAACTAAAAAGTGATACTACCGAAAAGGATCATTCGGTAGAGCTGCTTCGATCTCAAAACCAAGCGCTTGAATCTGATAAAAGCAAACTGAATGCTGAAATCAAAGAGCTCAAAGAAAAGCTGGCAAACGTCACAAACACCCTGAACCAACACTCTTCGCTGCCATCATCATCTGCAGCTCTGAATCCAAATATTCCCAAGCCTGAATCGGCAGCTAGAAACCCCGTATACAAGCTGGTGAACCCTGCGGCCGGCAAACCTGAGACAAAAGTCGACATAAACCCGCCTCCACCGCTTCCAAAACCGAGCAACAGCAATGCCAACCAAATTGCACCTCCGCCGGAGCCAAAGAAGAATGTACCCTCAGAGGACAAGATGAAAGCGGAAGAGTCCAAACAGAACCCGGACATTATTGATCCTGCAAACATTGCCATCGATGATGACATGGAGAAGGACGACCCCGGTCACGGGGATGCGGCGCATGAGGACCTCGAAGGGGCTATGGAAGGCCAAAAGGAGGGCAAAGTTGATAACTCAATCAACTATGTGGCCGACAACTCCAAAAACGCCGGTGGCCTGAACAACAAAAACTCGCAAGATAATCTCATTGAATCTATACAGAACATTTAGGGAAGCCCCCCCCCCTCAAAGATTGTACAAAAAAGCGCACTATCATTTTCTAAGTGTCATCATTTCTTTTCTTACACTGCATTTTGCCTGTTTGTGCCATCATNCCTGAACAACAAAAACTCGCAAGATAATCTCATTGAATCTATACAGAACATTTAGGGAAGCCCCCCCCCCTCAAAGATTGTACAAAAAAGCGCACTATCATTTTCTAAGTGTCATCATTTCTTTTCTTACACTGCATTTTGCCTGTTTGTGCCATCATTGTTCTTACTCACACTCTAGTAGTAGTAGTGGTTAGCACCCAAAGTATTACAGTACAAATCAATCACTTTCATAATATGATCACTTTTTGAGTTTACTTCATTCTTGTCTGATTATGTCATGCATTTCGTATTTATAAGAAAAAAGAATACAAGAAAAGTTGGAAACAGGGTGGATAAGAAAACAATTTACAAAAAATAAATTAAAGCAAATGAGTTTGAGTGAGGAGGAGAAGGAGATGTGAAGAGGGGAAAGAGAATAAATCTACAAAAGGGACAGATATGAAACAGGTAGAGTGAGAGCGAGAGAAAACACAGATTACAGTTGGAAGAGCTAGAGGAGAGAGTTTTGCAGCAAGGTTCAATGGTTCAACGGGGATTGAACGGAAGAGTGATACGGAGGTGTTATCAAAAAGAAAAGTTTTCAAGTAGCAAATATGGAAAATCGAGAAAAAGAGTTAGTGCAAATGTCAAACAGTTTGAAAAATGGGGGGAGCGTTTAGCGAATTGTTCTGATTCAGAAAAAAAACCGTGTCACAAAACCTGGAAATGAACATTTTTGAAGCGTGTGCAAATGGGGAGAAATGGAGAGGAAAAGAGGAGAAAACGAATTTGCCTTGAGTAAACACAGTATTATGGCTTGAAGACAGTGAGACGACCGAATGAAGAGAATGGATAAGTGCTTTTGATTATTTCGTAAGATAGAGAGAAGGGGTGATGATGAGGAGGGGGCAAATGAAGCTTCACTTCAGCAAGCAAAGCTTTATTACCTTTGTACTATTTTGTTTCGAAAAGATCGGATTCATTACGGTTACACAGCGAACATCATCAGTTGTTGGGGTGGTGCGACGTGAGAGGGTTCGGGATCGTCCACACCTCTTTCTCCCGCGTCTCCTTACTCTTCTGCGTCAGACTGTTCGTCGTCTTCGAAACGCGACAGATCAATCGTCTGGAGATAACCATTGCACGTGGCAAACTCCAGTAGCGCCAGACAGCAGAAGACATACTGATCGGGCATCTGAATACTGTGAGCGCGTTGAGAGCGGATCTTCTCGACGGTGCCTTGAATGTCGATAACGCCTGATGCTTCCAGACGCTGAATGGAGATGTCAATTGTGATGAAGGTACCTGTGATGAAGACAAGTTTTTATGATGATGAAAGTGCGCCACAGAGAAAACCATCAACATACCAGTTCGTCCGATGCCTGCACTGCAGTGAACAACGATCGGCGGTCCTAGTGGGTGACCTTTCCACTCTATGTGCTTCAAGTATTGCTTTTGATAGTCTCGGGTTTTCTGACGAAACTCCAACATTGCAACGGCCGATTGTGGTACACCTGGAAACAGGGCAAAATGAATGTTTAGATTTAGCAAACCAAAAAAGGCCATATGACAAACCAAAGTCCGGCCAACTGGAAAATTGCATGTGCACCACAGTTCTCTTTTCCTCCGTGTCCTTGTTGACCAGTGTTAGATTGCTAATGACCCAGTCCTTGTCCTGCTCGATGGAGTTGTTGATGATCGTAAAGTTGCCCACCGCGCAGTAGGTCTTCTGGTCGAGTGGCCAGTACTGATCGCACTTCACTCGACACCGCTCCACTGTCCGTGTGGTCATCACAATAACAATGCACTTGTTGTGCCAAACCATTCTCCAAAAGTCGTGAAAGGTTCTCGTCAGTGGACCTGGTGAAAAGGCAACAACAACAACAAACAGGTTATTAATTGGTTACAAACGGTCATCCAGTGATTACCTTGGGTAGAGATGAAAGCTCGTTTCTGTCTGTAACCGTCGACATAGTTGGCATTGATGTAATCAGTACTGGGGTCGTCGTCAATCACCGGTAACTTTACTCTCGTGTGATCATAGCAGAGCACGTCAATGTACCGATTCTTTGTTGCATTCGCCCTTGACCGTGCAATCTCAAAGGAGCCCGTAGGAGGATTGCTCTTGATAAAGCTGTACTCGTCGTGCAGGCCCTTCTTCCCTTTAATGTTCAGATTTTCAATGAACTCCTGCAGTGAGACACCGGTAGCTTCGAACTCATCGGGAATCTCTTCATAGATTTCCAGCTCAGAGTATGAGGATAGTGAGCCGTTCTGTGCGTCAGTGATCTCCGTATTGATGGCCAGTAGATCACATGAAGCATCACCGTTTGCGAGCGTTTTCGATAGATCACCATTTTTCTTTATCGTGCCCACTGGAGAGGAGTTGGCGGAAGAGCCGGCAGAGGAGCCAGCAGGACTGCCGCTGATGGAGGAGGTAATAGTGGAGAACAGTTTTCTGTCTGCAGGTACTGAGGGACACAGATCACCCATGTCATCCTGGTGCACCTTCAGGCAGTGTGCAAGCCAAGTGCCATGATCAATTCTTAACGTGCCACCGAGCTCTTCAGGCAAACACTCCTTCGGTATGTGTTGCGGTAGTTGGCTAGCGTTGATCATATGAACTCGATCACGCAGTTTCTCACGAACAAAAAGTTGCAGTATGCGAAACGGTGCTTTGAACCACAGCGGCGCTGTTACGATGAGCACCTTCTTCAGACGTGCTGGATAGGCGCCCTTTAGGAGGTTTAATATCTTCTGAGACAAGTCATAATCGAAATTGGTATATTTTGAGCCAGTCATGTTGTAGATGAAAATAATTCCGTTTCGTTGAGTATCGTAGTCATCGAGGGCCACATCAAGCTGGTACACCACGCCTTGGAGTGTCGTCTGATGTGTCGTCTCAGTGGGAGAATGTTTTCCCGCAGAAAACAGTGCGATCATAGACCCATTTTTATCAATTGCAGGCTAAAGAAGATAAAAAGGTAGAGCTTAGTTTTACTTGAATAAATACAATCTTTGTAACTCACCAGAATGGTAAACTTTCCCGTTTCTAGTTCTCGCTTCAGAGGATCTGTATGGGGATCAAACTTGACAATACCTTCTCTTATCCGTACTGTTTCATGTGACTGGTACAGTTGAAGCGATCTTGGCACGTCAAACTTTCGAGCCATCAAGAATTTCAAAGCAGAGCGTGGCAGCATTTGCTTTTCGGCATTTTGATTGCGCGATTTGTTCACAATGTCGAGAAAGTCGTCCAACGCCTATGAGTGTGAGAACCCATTAGTTTCAGGGCAATTTAAAGAGCCTTCATACCTTTTTCTCAATCGGTGAAAGTAAGTTTATGTCCATGATATGGCAATGCGTACAGAGGAGTAAATAAAAGTGATTCCGATTTTGTAAAATGTCGGGGATGAAAAGAAGAGTGAAGAAGCCAGTGAAAAGCCGCCGCTGACATTAAGAATTCTTTAAGTAAGTTAATGCGTGATTGCAAGTGGAAAAGTAGAAGGTTTGAGGAGTAGTGCCAATGACGCGGTTTCAAGAGATAAAATCGATTTAATTGTAAAGTGAAACGGTTTAGCTCTTATTCTTTTAAAGCGTTAAAACCTTCCGCCTAGCTACAGTTGGGGTGATGATGAAGAGTTGCAGCAATTATGAGGAGAATTGAATACATTTTAAATGAACCGGAGAAATGTGGCCTTTGAGTGACGGAACTTGCTTCAATGCTTCAACGTGTGCGTTTGAGTTGAATGGAACACCTGAGTGCGTTGACTGGGCGCAAATCGATTCAGGTGAGCGGCCTGTGTTGTTGGTAGATAGGACCGGGGGAGACAGGGAATGACAGCAGGTGTTGAGCGATGTGCTAGAGCGTGGCAGGCGCAGAGGGCCTAGGTGCCGTGCATCGGTCCGTCATCTCGGATGCAGCAAAATGAACATCTGGCGCTAGGGCCGAGTAAGAGTAAGGCCCAGGCAAGTACCAAAAACAAAACATTGGGCGACGATGTCTCCTCTTTGTGTGCCTCTCTCTCCCCTTCTTGAGCTGATGTTAGCTGTTTTCTTGCACGGCCAACAAAATTTCCAAGCAAAACGCTGGCCGTATAGGACGTATTCGGTCAGCAGACTGGCTTCGGCAGCTATAGCACTGATAGGTCTGATTAGCTCAAGAGGCGCCGTACAGTTAGCGGGAAAAAGGAGAGCGAGAGACACAATGGAGTTTAGTGTCTTTTAAACGAGAAGCCACTGGCGCACACTATCACCATCACAGTATCTAATCGAAGACACAGCCCTTCGACACGAGCTGATATCCATTGCTGGTACTGACAGTATCCGGTGGTGGACGGGGAATGAAGTGCCACACGGCTGTCACCGTTAACTGTGAGTGATCTGTGAGTGATTAAGGTGAAACTTCCACAAAATGTAATGACACACAGTAGTGGAGGATCG